CCACAACGGGAGAGGCCACAACAGTGAGAGGCCCGCGTACCGCCAAAAAAAAAAAAAAAAAAAAAAAAAAGGCCCCCAAAAACACAAAAAAAAAAAAAAAAAAAAAAAAAAAGAGTAAGGATTTGTGTTTGGCACTGTATTTTGGCAAATGGCTAGGAGAAGAATCTGTTATAGGCCTCCTTTGGCTCAAAAGATCTCCTCAAAAGGACAGATCAACTCTGGATCTTTCCAGGTTTTACCCAAGGAGACTGTAGTTGTTTGAGCCATCTGATGAACATAGAAGTCATTGCATGAGACTGTGTCCCTGGAATGTTGCATAGACACACGACCCTTTTACAGGAGACTGAGATTCAGGGCTAATCCACAGGGCAGGCTGCCTATGGCTCAATGAGCTTTCAGTCCAGTGGCAATCAATGCCAAGCTGCAGAGCACCAAGGGTCACGGTGCCCTAGAGGAAGTTTCTATTATTTCTAGTTCTAAGAGTACCCTTAAGGATAATTCCAGGAAAGTCAGACAAGAAATGATTCAAAACTTTGATTTCTAGATAAACTTCAGAAGCACCTATCCCGTAGATGGGGTTCACCACTTTTACAGTGTCACATACTCAAAGGCTACAACTATAAAGAGATAGAGTAGTAACAAACAAGATGTGTAAAAGTGACATTTTTCAAATACCTTAGTGCTTAGGGCCACCCAGAGTCCATATGGGGAATCAGTCATGCAGCCTGTGGATCTTCCTATAGTTGTCTTTATTGGTACCACACTTCCACCTCGTTGAAACACTGGTATCTATAACAGAGCAACACTCTCAGAGAAGGAGGATTCATATAAGGCAATTTCAAAGTAGACTTTTAAAATATTTCATTGTACAAGACTCACATTCGTTACAAGTATAGACTCAAAGGCAAAATAAATTTGTGAACACAGAGATGGCAAATATGGGGGCCCTGGCATTAAAAGGAAAAGAGTTCAAACACTAAAAATGGTTCATTTTTAAATTATTAGGGAAACTTCTCACCCTTCATCAATTTACTATCTGTTCTGACTATCCTATAAGTAGCCTTTCCTGTTTTGTATTTTTAATTTTCCTGTCAATATAACAAAAAAGTTTATTTCTAGGACCCTGCTAAAGAGGGAATTTGTCTGTCTGTATGAGCAGGCCCAGATGTACATATGTATGTCTTTATAAAAGATGGTAGGGACTTCCCTGGTGGTCCAGTGGTTAAGAATCTGCCTTCCAATGCAGGGGACGCAGGTTTGATCCCTGGTCGGGGAACTAAGATCCCACATGCTGCGGGGCAACTAAAGCCTGCAAGCCGCAACTACTGAGCCCATGCGCCACAACTAGAGAGAAGCCCACGGGCAGCAATGAAGAGCCCACGCGCAGCAACGACAGATCCCATGTGCTGCAACTAAGACCTGACTAAGCCGAAAAAAAAAAAAAAAAAGATGGTAGTTTCTTGGTTTGGGAAAGATAACTGTTGTCCTTACTTCAACCTATACCCTTCTTGCTCCTGCTTCCCTGATCACCAGGATGACTGACTCAATTCTGAGGGTAGAACTGTGAAACTTTTGCTATAGAAGCCACCAAGGGCACTTGAAGTGACTCTGACAACAGGGTTGTAGGCAGGGCCCCTATCTATGGGTCTTCTGGAATGCCATTCCCAGCCAGGACAGCCCAGTAGGTTCCCTGCCTCCCAGTGCAATCCTCTGTAAGGAAGCTCCCTGGATCACGTGAAGGCCTGTACTTTGCTCTGAGTAATGTACAAGCGGGGTGAAAAGCAAGAATACAGTAGTCCCCCCTTCCCCACGGGGGATTCGTTCCAAGACCCCCCAGTGGATGTCTGAAACCGAGGAGAGTACTGAACCCTATATAAAGGTATTTCCCCTACACTAATGGGCGGGTAGCACACACAGTGTGGATCTGCTGGACAGAGGGATGATTCATGTCCTGGGCAGGAGGGAGCAGGATGGCGCGAGATTTTGTCATGCTACTCAGCTCAGCGTGCAATTTAAAGCGTATGAATTGTATATTTCTGGAATTTTCCATTTAATGTTTTTGTACCACAGTTAATATTTTTGGGTTTTTTCTTTTTAAAAAATTTTATTTTTATTTATTTATTTTTGGCTGCACTGGGTTTTCATTGCTGCACGCGGGTTTTCTCTAGTTGCGGCGCGTGGGCTTCTCATTGTGGTGGCTTCTCTTGTTGTGGAGCACGGGCTCTAGGCGTGCAGGCTCAGTAGTTGTGGCACACGGGCTTAGTTGCTCTGTGGCATGTGGGATCTTCCCAGACCAGGGATTGAATCCGTGGTCCCCTGCATTGGCAGGTGCATTCTTAACCACTGCGCCACCAGGGAAGTCCCACAGTTAATATTTTTGGGCCATGGTTGATTGAAGGTAAATGAAACTGTGGAAAGTGAAACCGCAGATAAGGGGGACTGCTGTATACATGAAGTTGGGAATCAGGATGGATGTAGTTAAGATGTCCACCCTCTGCTTGACTTGAAGTCAGCAGCAAGAAGTAAAGTACATCTACCTCCCCACCCTCATCAGCCAATCTCTTCTTATTCTTTTTTTTTCCTTCAAAGAATGAGGCAGTAAGTTAGTATGAATGGGTTCTGGAGTAGGTGTTCAGTTGACCCGGGGTCTTGTCTCAGTTCTGCCACAATTTAGCTGCAACCCTGGACAAGGAATTTAACTTCTCTGAACCTCACTTTCTTCACCTGTAAGCATGAGGGATTCAAGTAGATGAATGGTGAGGTCTCTTCAAGATCTGAAAGTTGGCATCTGAAATCATTTTCTATATAATGGAGTTCATATTGCTGCTGAGAATTTTAAAAAATAACATCAATATCTCTTTATAAATCTTTATACTACTTAGGGCCTGTGGTAGTCATTGTGATTCAGCTGCAGGAGCAAACTTCCCTTCAGAAATGCAGCCTAGATGGGCCACTCTGAGTCTAAAATCATACCTCATAGCCTCCCCTTGGGCCTAGAGGTCCAACTAAAAACTCATGTTTTCTGACTTGGTGTTGTAGAAGAATACTCTGTATGGTGTATGTGGGGACCACACCCTCTGTTGTCAGTGTTATTGTTTTTCTTAGACATGCAAATGTAAATCAGAGTATGTTTTCTATATTCTTTTTTTCTCACATTTAACAGCCTTATTGACATAATTCATGTCATACAATTCACCCATTTATAGTGTACAATTAAACGTTTTTTAGTATATTCAAAGTCATGCAACCATTACCATAATCAATTTAAAATCACCCCAAAAAGAAACACTATACCCATTAGTGGTCACTCCCCATTGCTCCCAAAACCCTCTCCCTGCCTTCAGCTCTAGGCAACCACTAATCTACATTCGGTCTTCATATGTATGTGTTATCGTGCAGAACACTGATGTCCTTGGTTCTTTCTGTGTAGGCACATGTTATGGACTAAATGTATCCCCACAAAATTCACGTTGAAGCCCCAACCCGCAACGTGACTGTATTTGGAGACAGGGCCTTTACAGAGGTAATTAAGACTAAATCAGGTCATAGGAGTGGGGCCCTGATCCAAATGATTAGTGTTATAAGAGACAAGAGAGCTCACTCTCTCCCTCTGCCATGTGAGGACACAGCAAGGTGTCTGTCTACATGCCAGGAAGAGAGCCCTCACCAGGCACCGAATTGGTTGGAACCTTGATTTGGAACTTCCAGCCTCTAGAACTGTGAGAAAAGAAATTTCTGTTGTTGAAGCCACCCAGTCTATGGTATCCTGTCATGGCAGCCCGAGTAGACAAATACAGCACAACAGGTAAAAATAACAGTCTGAAAATAATTTACCGTGTCCAAGGCTACTGGGATCTTTACAGTACATGCTCCTTCCCAATGAGCAAATGTCTTAGAGTCATACCAGACCTGAAAAGAAACAGACCCTAATGAAAAAGAGTGTATAAGCAACTCTGTTCACAATTTCATTATTTAGTGAAACATCCATTTATCTGGATTTCAAATAACCAGAAAGCTAAAATAAATACAATTAAAAAAAAAACCACCTTGAGTAGAAGTTAGGAAGAACATATGCTTTTAAAAAGATCCCAAAGGAAAAACCTAGTACTGTGACAGATTAAGCTGACTAAAAGGCCATTCATTTTTCCATTCATCCATCCAAAAGTTATTTATAGATCAATCTACCATGCACCCGGCATTGCTGGGTACACACAAGTGAACAGAAGACATAGAACCTGCCCTCATGGATTTTACAGTCCAGTTGGCTTATAAAAACTTAATGATCAGGACCTCCCTGGTGGTGCAGTGGTTAAGAATCCGCCTGCCAATGCAGGGGACACGGGCTTGAGCCCTGGTCCAGGAAGATCCCACATGCTGCGGAGCAACTAAGCCCATGTGCCACAACTACTGAGCCTGCGCTCTAGAGCCCGTGAGCCACAACTGCTGAGCCCACATGCCACAACTTCTAAAGCCCACATGCCTAGAGCCTGTGCTCCACAAGAGAAGCTACTGCAATGAGAAGCCTGCGCACCGCAACGAAGAGTAGCCCCCGCTCGCCACAACTAGAGAAAGCCTGCGTGCAGCAACAAAGACCCAATGCAGCCAAAAATAAATAAATAAATATTTTTTAAAAAACAAAAAAACTTAATGATCTAGTAGTGAAAAAGACAATGGAAGAGAGAAAACCACAACAAAGCAGAAAAGCACATTGCAAGCAAACAGATTACAAATGAGGCAGGAGAAAAAAAAGTGTCAGACAAGGAAACAGATCTTAGAGAAAAACAAATGGAAACTTGGATTACTACTATAGTGTCATTGTTTCTTAACAGAGTTCAATTCAGGGATGAGGTTCAAACTCTTACCTGAGAGGCCTGTCAAGGGGGTTTACTTGCTAAAGTGCCAAAAAAGTCCTGCAAGGTAATTTGGTGGGATAAATCCTTAAGATACCATCAGAAGCAACATGAAAACAAACCCTTTTTCTCTCTTCTAGTTCAATATAATTTCTGGCAGCCACAGAGTCTATTTTGCAAGTTCACCTCCTGGGATTACCAGAGCCTTTATAAAGCTGGGCTGTTGAATCTGTCATTGTCTTGCTGTGAATGTGAGAGGGCTGTGACCTGACAGTTGCTAGCTACAGTGAACTCTTAATTCAACTGGATCAGCCCCACCTTGTCATGAAGTATTCTCTTTGGCTGGATTCAATTTGCTAACGTTTTGTCAAGGATTTCTGCATCTGTGTTTACAAGGGATATTGTCTTAGCTTTCTTTTCTCGTAATGTCTTTCTTTGGTGAATTCTACCAGCTTTAGATAAAAAGCTGGTGGGAGTGAAAGGTAAAAAAAAAAAAGGATTCAAACAATATTTGGGGATTTCCTGTCGACCATTTCCAGTCTAACTAACTGAAACGAGAGGTATAGAGTGTGTGCTCTGGTGCCATATTCAAAGATCTCCAGCCTAGGAAGCATACAACTGGTACAAAACATAATGTAGATCAGACCCAGAGCTTAGTCACCAAGCTCCTCACCCAGCAAGTACTTACAGAAGGCCTACTATGGGCCACGTGCCCATCTAGATGCTGGGGATACAGACCATAACAGATAAAAATCACTGCCCTCAAAAAGCTAACATTCTAATGGGAGAGATAAATAATAAACAAAACATAAAATACATAGAATGTTTAAAATGGCATGTTCTGTGGAGAAATATAAAGGACGAAGGAGGGCTGGACAGAACCGGGGCAGCGGGAGTAGTTTATAATATTTTTTTAAATTTTATTTTATTTATTTATTTTTGGCTGCATTGGGTTTTTGCTGCTGCATGCGGGCTTTCTCTAGTTGTGGAGAGCGGGGGCTACTCTTTGTAGCAGTACGCGGGCTTCTCATTGCATGGCTTCTCTTGTTGCGGAGCACGGGCTCTAGGAGTGTGGCCTTCAGTAGTTGTGGCTCGCGGGCTCTAGAGTGCAGGCTCAGTAGTTGTGGCACATGGGCTTAGTTGCTCTGCGGCATGTGGGATCTTCCCGGACCAGGGCTCGAACCCGTGTTCCCTGCATTGGCAGGTGGATTCTTAACCACCGTGCCACCAGGGAAGCCCCGGTTTATAATCTTAAACAGGGTGTCAGAGAAGCTGTCCCCAATAAACAGATTTGCAGGAGAGGGAACGGACCACACAGAAACACGGGGAAGGTGACAGCAAGGCCTTTAGATAGCTCCCTGCACAGTGTGATGCAATACTAGCTAACCAGCAAGGTAAAGTTCTGGCAAGAAACGGCTTGGCATTCCTACCCAGGCTTTGGGAAGATGTAGCAAGAGAAACAATCACAGAACAGTCTGGGAAATAGTGTTGAAGGAATAGGTTACATAGTCACAACAATGTGATTGAAATGTTAATAGGTCATTATAGAAATTTGTGGCTAAGTCAGAAAGGGAGCTAGCTCTTGTCAATGGGAACCTACGCTTTGTCAGAATCGACTTGAGAAACTCTCAGCAGAAATGCTTGGCAGGACAATTTATTTAGCTGTTGTTATATTTAACTTTTTTCTCAGGTTTCTGCTTGGCAGGGGAACCTTTGTAAAGAGCCCCACCTTCAGAACTACAAATTACTAGAGAAACCAAGCAGAAAGAACATCATTCATGAGCACTCTGTAGAAAAGCCTGGTTATTGTCATATCAGTAATGACAAGTATAGTGGGCTGAATGGTGGCTCTTTCAAAAAGATATATTTGCTTCCTAATCCCTGGATGGAGTGAATATTACTTTCTATGGTAAGAGATTTGCCTAAATTAAGGATCTTGAGATAAGGAGGTAATCTGGAATTATTCAGATGGTCACTAAATAACATCACAAGTGTCTTATAAGAGACAATGGTAGGGGAGACACAGACACACACTGTGAAGATGGAGGCATGGACTGAAGTGATGCAGCTACAAGCCAAGGAATGCCAAGGAGTGCAGGCAGCCACCAGAAGCTAGGAGAGTGGTATGGAACAGATTCTCCCTCAGAGCCTCCAGAAGGAATCAGCCCTGGAGACACCATGATTTCAGACTTCAAGCCTCCAGAACTGTGAGAGCACAAATTTTTGTCATTTTAAGCCACCAAGTTTGAAGGGAAGAGACGTGAGGCATGTAAGGTATGTGGATGTTTGTCATTTACTTTTACCTCACTTGATCCTGGCAGAAACACATCAACCACAGTAGCTTTTGGTTCTGTGACTGGGTGAACCAATAAAGCGCTTCCTGAAAAATGGGGAAGAAATAAAGTTGAATATCATGATAAGAGGTCTGAAAACATCCCTTCTCTTTGTGGTTTCAAAGACCACTCAACTGAACTTCTTGAAGGTAGAGATCTTGGTGAGTTAAACCAATGATTCATCAGGGAGATGCACTGTTAGTTAGAAAGAGGACAGATGCTCAGAGGTAACTGTTTTATTACCTGTCATTAATCCTCCTATGGTATAGTAGGATTACAGGCAGGGACCCTGACAAGTCTGGCACAGCCTCATTTTGTGCATAACTGTCATCTGAAAGCACCATTGCACTTCTCTAAGTGCTTCATTGTTTGCTATACATGACTTTGAACGTGGTGAGTCTACAGCTGTGACGCAGAAGTGTGGTCCACATAGATACTCAGGTCCTCTTCCTTGGGCAGGTATCACTGGAAGCCTGTAATTCTCTTAAAGGCAATCTGGATTATTAATTTCATTTTGATCTTGGCACCACCATATGTAAAATTCATCCATTTATGAATCTGCTCTTTAATTCAACAAATATTCGTTGAGTTCCTCCTGAGTCCCAGGCACTGTGCTAAGGCTCTGGGGATGGAGTGACAAATAAGACAGACATGGTCCCTACCCTCATGAAGCTTACAGTCAGTAAAGACAGATATTAAACAAGTAATTACAAATTAATTAGAGTTAAGACAAATACCAAAAAGATGAAAGTACAAAATGGAATGAAAGTTACATAATAAGAGGGACTGACTTTGACTAATGCAGGTGGAATTAGGTATTAGGAAGCAATTTTGGTCAGGGAAATTTTCTCCAGGGGAAGTAGCTTTGAAATTTGAGACCTAAGAATGAGTGGAGACCAAAAGAGATATAGGTTGTTTACATTTTGGGGTTTCTACTCTTTAGAAATGGAATTCACCTTTTGGGCAGCTCTGTGTTGAGCCTGACTTCTTGACCCCATTCCCCAAATGATAAACTCCCATGTTCCAAATCTGGTTAACCCTTGTTAAAGAAGAGGCCAACCAAAACAAACAAACAAAAAACCCCCAAAAAACCAAAACCAAAATCAAAACCAAAAAAACCCAAAAAACAAAACAAACAAAAAAACCAGACCCCAAACAAACAAACAAACAACCCTATCTTGCATATGAAATAAGCTCTTCTGAGTCTTTACTATCTGGTTTACCTTTTTCTACTTCCCTTCCCTGTGGTGGTATCATAAGGCTTAGGAGTGGACCCAGACAAGAATCCCAACTTACATCCACAAATAAAATGGGTTTATATGAAGTTGACATGTTATGCGAAGTGCTGCATGACAAGAGAATAGAGCTGTGATCCCACTAATACACTAAAGATCTTGGTGATGGAATTTCTTTTATTTTTGTTTTTGGCTTTCTTGAGATTAGGGATTTTTTAGCATTCTTACACTAGAAAATACAATAAGAAAAACATAATTAAAGTATTTATCATAACTATAATTAATCAAGAAATGCTCACCCAGCATGTATTCATCTTCCACACCGAAAGTCTCTAATTCATCAGGGAACTCTACCCACAGAGGCCTGGGGAAAGGAAAAAAGAAATTTCTTACTTCAACATCATTAGATTTTTATTATAATTCATCACTTACATTTTCAGTTTTATAACTATTCAAAGAAATTGGAAAAAGCCAAGACTCTTTTTGTATGATTCATGATTTTATGAGGGCTTCCCCGGTGATGCAGTGGTTAAGAATCTGCCTGCCAATGCAAGGGATGCAGGTTCGAGCCCTGGTCCGGGAAGATCCCACATGCCACGGAGCAACTAAGCCCGTGTGACACAACTACTGAGCCTGCGCTCTAGAGCCCGTGAGCCACAACTACTGAAGCCTGCGCGCCTAGAGCCCATGCTCTGCAACAAGAGAAGCCACCGTAATGAGAAGCCCGTGCACTGCAACGAAGAGTAGCCCCCGCTCGCCGCAACTAGCGAAAGCCCACATGCAAAAACGAAGACCCAACACAGACAAAAATAATAAATTAAATAAATAAATTTATAAAAAAAAGATTTTATGAGCGCTTGTTATGATTACTATATATTTTTCTTATGTGAAAGAGCTATGTATTAGCTTAAATGGTTCAATGAAAGCTTGAGAATTCTGGTACCTGAAATTTCCCCTTCTTATTGCTGAGCACTAAATACTATGACAGAATCGGAGCTTTGTCCAAGTCCAAATGCCTAACACGTTTGGTGTAAAACAAATTAAATGTTTGTAAAACCGAATTTTATAGTGTTGTAAAATCTGTGCCATTTTTTCATTCTGTCACTGCTTTTCATGAATCGTTAATCATTGCCTATTTAAATAAAAATAATTGTTTTTTCTTGTTCTCAAGCTGGCTACATTTTTGGAGGTTTCAGAAACTTGTGTGGGTTTTGAGTTTTGTTTTATTGTTATTGTACACAACTAACTAGGAGGCACGTGGGCTTATAAAAATCATAAAACTTTTAATATCTATGTATCTGGATATTAACCTAGTGGTTCTAATATTATTTTCAATTTCATGAGGAAAAGATTTTTTTTTTTTTTTTTTTG